TATTTAAAATTGCTGTAGGTAGGATTTATAGTAATAATAACTAATCGTAATAATATTTAATAATAAATTAGGTAAAATATATAGTTTATTAATTTTATTTTTATTTTTATTTTATTAATTTTGATTAATAAAATTGTGTTTATCTCATTAAGGAGGCCGAATTCGAAAAATATCAAGAGATAAATTTTAATTGGCATTAAATGACCTACACAATTTTGATAACAAAAGAAAAAATTAGTGGCGCACATGTTTTTTTAAACGTCTGATTAAAAGTTTTATTTTGATATTTTGTCGATTTCGGTTCACTTGATGAGATAAACGCAATTTAATTAATTTGCCTTAATCCAATTTTTGTAATAGTACCTTTAAAATATGTTAATATCTTTAACTTGCCAAAATGATAAAAAGTACTTATTGATTCCTCATCAAAAAAATATAAAAAAGTTCCTATAAACATGGCTGCGGAAATGCATAGTTTTAAAGTTACAGGATGGTAAAACTTGCTGTGGTTATCACGTACATTAATGCTAAAAATTTTAATAAATTAGATTAAATAAATAATTTATTAATTTTATTTTTATTTATGATGATTAATAAAATTGAACAAAATATCAAGACACCACTTTCAATTGGCATGACTAGAAATTTGCTACAGAATGTCTGTATGTCAAACATACAGATATATCTGATTATTTAAATGATTGCTTATAATGTAAATTTTATTATTGATTTTCCATCCATTGAGATCTGTCGTCCATCATGGATATTTCTGATAAAAATTTAAGAAGATTATATGCTCAAACTTTCATTCAGAGGAATTTGCATATTTGATATTGTTTTTTGTTGAGAATATCTATCCGTTTTTGGGCGGGTTCAATTCTTGAATAAAAATTTCTTTCGCCACTGGAAAAAATCTACAAAATAAAAAAGTTATTTTTTCTAAACACCACTGCGTTCTAATGTTAATGCTAAAATTTCAAATTTATAGTCAATCAAATGAAAGTTTAATAGCATGGTCACGAGGAGCGTTCTTTACATATAATTTACTAAACCGATAACAAAATTATACAAGTAAGGCACCCTTTAACTGCAAATTCGCTAAAGAGCGGTGGATTAAAATGTTGACTTTAATAAGATTATGTCGTCCTAATTAACTTACATGCACATAACCTTTAGAAACTCTAGCTGTTTGCTCGTAGTTATTACTGCTAACGTCTAACATAAATCTTGATAAATGGTTTATTTTGTAATACAATTTTCGTGTTTAAGAAATGTATATCACTTTAATCGGATACTTAAATAAGAACTTTATTTTTTTTATAAAAAATAAATTTCACAGACATAAGTTATATAAAACCTTACTTTCTACTACCTAGTTTAAATGGTATTACTATAAAGGCAAAGATAAAAATAATAAACATTCTTACGTATGAAAATTGTCTTGTCATTGTAAGTTTTATTGCATGCAATAAAAGTGCAATATTCCGAATGACAGTAATATTTTGAATTGTGCAAAGTGAGATTTGAAGATATTGCAATATTCGTTGTATGATTTTGTTTCAACTTCGGGAATTTTACAAGTACCAAATGTTTTTTAATTTGACTAACCATCGATAAACAATTGTCGTTTTAGGAGACATTAGTCAGAAACCCAATCAAATATACAGGGTAGTCCAAATTGTAAATAGGAAACGGCGGGAGAATATTGTGCAGATAAAATTGTGTAAAAAAGTTCGTATAAGGATAGATACAGGGTGTAGAAGTTTCATTTTTATTTCGATCTTTTTAAGTAATTTCTGAACTAATGTCCATATTTGTATAACAAATTGGAGTCTAGATGTTTTTCGATATGAGAAATTCGATTTTGATGACTTTATGACTCCTACTTTTAGAGAGCACTACCTACATATTTTTTTACTGTTTTGAAGAGTAATAACTGTATTACTCCACAGAGTGAAAAAATATACATTTCCGCGGTATTTTACGTAAAACAAGTCTCTTAGTAAAAATCGCTACGTTTAATAGTCTTCAAAATATTTCAAATCGGATTAGTATACAGGGTGTCATTAAAATAGTGTACAAAAAATCGGGGGGTGATAGTACTCCTAAAAATAGTAAAAAAAGTTCCTATAAGTATAGGACGGAAAATGCATATTAAGGGAGTTAGGGGCACTGAAAGGGTGAATTTAAAGAACGGTTTTTTTGAAACTGTAGGCTTAAAAAACGAGATAAAATTTTGAAAAAAAAATCCTCTGCCATAAGGTTTGACCCTAAATCAAATGGTGACACTGAAAAATTATTTGAAAAAGCGGAAAGGGTAGTTTTTGCAAGGGTAAGGGGTTGTTTCGTGAATAACTTTTTTGAGGTTATTTTTTTTGCAACGCGGGTTCATTTTTTGAAAACTACTCGTACATACCCTTTCCTACAAAAAAGGTACTCTTGTTGCACATCGCCCAGAGTGATGGTTTTCGAGAAAATTGAAGGCAAAAAGTTTGCTCTGATAGGTTGCTAACTGGTTAATCAACATAAATTTATGAAAGTTATGGCGGTTCAAAAGTAACCAAGTAGTTATTAAATAATTAATTGGAATATCAAAATTTCATGATTTTTCAAACATCGTTTTGCTTTAAAAACGAAATAAAGCAATTACCAAAAATCCTTATTAAAGTAAGGCATTCCTTAATTTATCCCTAGTAAATGTTCAAAGTGACCACCATTCATTTCAATGCAGACATCTGCTCTTCTTCTCCAAAATCTGCGTACCCTGTGGAACATCCTTGGTGTTGTCCGAATTTGATTGGAACAGTCAATAATGCGTTGCTGTAGTTGCTCTTCAGTATTAATCGGTACTGAGTAAATCATAGCTTTGTTATTTCGTTTTTTAAAGCAATAAGATGTTTTAAAAATAATGAAATTTTAATTTTTCAATTAATTATTTGATAGCTAATTGGTTACTTTTGAACCGCCATAACTTTCATAAGTTTATGTTGATATCAACTCATCAGAGTAAACTCTTTGTCTTCAATTTTTTCGAAAACCATCGCTCTGGGCGATATGCAACAAGAGTACCTTTTTTGTAGGAAAATGTATGTAGTTTTCAAAAAATGAACCCACGTTGTAAAAAAAATAACCTCAAAAAAGTTATTCGCAAAACAACACTCTACCCTTGCAAAATCTACCCTTTCCGCTTTTCCTAATAATGTTTCAGTATCTCCATTTGATTTAGCAAAAATAACAGCAATGCGTCTTGGATCGTAGTCTAAAAGCTAGATAATGAGTTGATAGTTTAACAACTATCTCTGGTCGTCGCCCGATTTCCCTCTCCCTAATTTGTGAATAATATTTTAAGAATCAATAATTTTATTTATAAGACAGTGTGTCTTAAAACTAAATGCTTTGAATTTAAAGAAATATGTTTTATTTTTAAATAGGCGTTTCATCTCAAGGTTGATGGAACAGATGCATTTATGCCAAATTTCAAAACTATTAAAAAAGGAATACTAGGCTCCATAGAGGTATAACCAACCATCGACGGTGAATTGGACTGTATAAAATATAATTTACTAAAACTGTATTAGAACTTTATAAAAAAGATATTTTTGGTACTAGATACAAACATTAATTGGTAAGTATAACTGCTCTAAACAATAATAATGAATAAGAAATTGTCAATAGTAGTTGGACAAATTATGCATAAAACTTATTTATTTTTTTTATTGTTTTGACGCTAGTTTTAACAGCCAATAAATATTCAAATTTAATAAATTTATTACCAACCAAACAATCAAATTCAGAAATGCCAACAATTTTAATTATCGTTGATCGCTCCGTATTAACTGACGTTTAGTTCTATTTGTATTTTGTTAAAAATAAACTTCACAATATGCAAATACTGATATTTACATAATCCATGAGAAATATCTATAATTAATATGTTATTTTATAAATACCGGGAATAATTCTGGCGTCAAAATATTGACGCGGCGCAACATGTAACCGTTAATACCCAATTCCGAATGGTTAATGTGAAATATTTCACAGCCGCGCGCCATCGCATATTTGATATTTTGACTTTCGATAGGGGAAAAGTAACAAAATTGAACGAAATAATTTTAGTTAATTTGATTTGTTAACTGGATCGGACAATTTGACACACTAAGCCTTTTGCTAATTTTGATGGCGTTTAATATAAATTTTATCCATTATACGATTATATTATCAGTTACATTTGAATAAAATATACAAGGTGATCCACGGTGATAGAGGGTTAGACGTGTAGGAATGAAATGTATTATTGTGAAAAAATTATTATTCTTTTGTAAACGCACCTCTTTGATCAACATTCGCTGACTTGTTTGTTTAACAAGTCTAAAAAAGCGCAATGTTTGTTAAATTGTAAGACAGTGCCCCTTTGCGTCTACGTTCAAAAGCTTATTATTATTGTTTTTATGGTATAATCTAGAGTAAGGAACGCTCTTATTTTAAATTAAAATATTTTCAGGGTTTTACAGTGTAACCAGTTTATTTGAGAAGTAGTACCATGTTTACTATTTTAATCGAAACACCCAGTCTATCATCACATATTTGAAACTACTTATATTTCTTCTAATTTATTTATTATATTATATCTATATACAGGGTGAGTCTTAAATAAATGCAAATATTTTTCGAGATAGTATATTTCGACCCCAGAAATTAAGAGGATTTTTTCGAGAAAAAAAATTGAAAATTTGGATTTTTTTTAATTATTATTTAAAAAACATAATACTTTCATAATATGACAACATACATATGTAGTAGATTAAATTTACAAAAAAAAAACGAGAAAAGTTACAGTGGTTCTCAAAATTTAAGCAAAAAAATTAATTTGTGAAATTTTCAGTTCAAAGTGAAATATCTCGGTTATTTTTAACTTATTTGAAAAACGGTTAAAAAAAATATGTTTTTTTTTATCGAGATCTACCAGCCCTGAAGATATTTGCACTTATTTAGGACTAGTTATGACAGTCGAAATACACAGATACACTTCTCACGGACGACATCCGCAGGATGCACCTGCACTTTTGCCTGGGAACCTGCAATTCAGCAGTTTGCCATAAGAAGAGGTTTCTTCACAAACCAATGTAGATTTTAGTTTTAGTTCTTGTCTAGCTATTGTACTTGTAACATTCAATTGCTGTTCCGTAAAATAAATTTAAGTTTATTCCAAAATTTGTGTTTTTTAAAAATACATCTTTCTGGGACTGAAACGTAACTGGCGCAGTCGGTAGGATTTGTGCGGGTACAATTTTCGGTACGAAAGTGTCTATCGGACTTTGCATCTTGTGGTTTTCAACCCTTCAGCACGAATCCGGGAAGAACCAACGGTCCAGCAGCAGAATCAATCCCAAGGCAACAGCGGAGAACTCGGGAAGGGACTGGAGACTACGAAAAAAAAGTAAGTGCCATTCCTTTTTGCCTCTGTCACAACCTCTGCTTAAGGTTTTAGGTCGGGATAGTTAGGTTCTGTATCATCGCGTACTTTTCGCAGTTCATTGAGAACAATTTAGATTTAATTCAGTCTATCGAAGACACGTAGATTTAAGAAACTAAAAAATAATTGCACAAATCCACAAATCACTGATACGCAAAGTGAGGTTACGCCTACGAAACCGTTGAACCGTCAACCGTCAAATATTTTTTGACAACAAACAATTGACTTATCATAGACCAATAACAGATAACGTCGGGAATTGTTTACAAGGAATACGAAAAATTATATGCTCTGTGGCCGACGACAGATGCTCCTACGTATGCCGGCCGATCGCAAATTTTACGTGGTGTACGTTGGAGTTATATACGTCGTAATAGGATTGCCGGTCGTCCGGTTTGATGACTCCGGTCGTGTGAGACGACTAATCTTGGAGACCCGGTCGGAATTGGTATATTGGTAGTTCATATTAAGTCGGACACAGAAATCCGCCATTCTTAACAAGTATCCGATTGTCAGCCATTTTAAAATCGTTTTTTTTTTTAATTTATATTCACATTCCGATTTCTAATAGATTAATATTGAAAAGGTTGAGTTTGGGGGAACCACAGTACAGTTTTATGATTAAACCAGCTAGAAAATAAAAAAAAATATTTTGCGAGTTACTTTTTTATAGTTATTTTTATTTCATAAATCTACCTAATTTTGAGTTATTTTCCGGAGTATTTTAATCAGATATATCAAAAAAGTGACTTCCGTTGACAAAACTGATGTTAGGATTAATGATTCAGAATTATTATAATATGAAATTAGGTAGGGACTTATAGTTAAATTCGAGGAGTGATTATGAATCCATTTGTAATTAGGTAGTTTGGTTAGGTTTTTATGTGTTCTTGGTAGCGAATTCGAAACCAAACGTAACGTAAGTGCTTAGCGACAAATTTTAAGTAACTGAAATCCAACGTAATATGATTGGTAATTGGTAAAATTACATTCCCTATTAGGTCAGATACCGACGTCGAGGCGACCCGAATCTGTATTCCCCATTTAGGTTCAAATAAGGGTCGTCAGGCAGTCGAACTGACGTTAGTACCCGACGTCGGGTTTATTGAACGCGACGTATACCCGACGTTAGATAACGTCCAAATGCTACTTGGGTAAATATGTGTATGAGGCTACACCAAAATTGAAAATGGTTGAATAAGCTGGAAATTATTAATTATTAATTACTTAGGCTTAACTTTATGACAACTGTACATTTTAGAGACATAATGACCTGAATAATTTTATAGACAATGACGAGAATAACCCTGTAAACAATACTCAACCAAAATTAATATTACTGTCGTTATTTTGCAGCACACGATATGTAATTGTTACCCAGAACTGGATCTCTAAACGAATTGGTTTCGCCGTAATTCCTATTTCAAATACAAGCGAACTTTCTAAATTGAAAACGATAATAGAAACAGTGTCCAGTCATCTATTTTATGTTCAAATCTCGTTGTTCCGCTGCGAACAATGAATATCGCTGTAGCAATATTTTAGCTCGTTTCTTTAGCGAGTTCGGGATAACCAGTTATAAATTTCCGTTTTTATTTCTAATGAAACAATGAAGGGATTCTTACAAAGTAGATTAATTACACGTTTTATCAAAGAACAGTTATTAAAGTTCTCTTACTTTAGGTTATATAAGGACAATTAAATATCAATTTTTTTATTTATTTTAATATAAATTCTGAAACTTGTTTAAAATTGCTATAATTAGGAGTATATTTTAACATGAATTTATAATTGAGTAGTGTATTGAACAAAGCAATTCTATAAGCGATACCAATTAATCTTTTATTTACGTAATCGAGGGCGTTTTTTAGATCCATCCTTGCCAAACATTGACATATTTGGCGCGAAGTTGACTAACTGGAATTCAAATTTCCCGCCTGGGATTCAGGTGGTAGCTCTGCTGAAAAAAATATTAGGTTTGCTACATTTATTTATTTCTTTCCTGACCTTCGCATTCGCATGTCACAAAACTTCCTAACACTAATTTTCATCCAAATATTGACGTTACGTCAGAAATTATTTGGAAAAAATCGAAATAAAAATAAAACTTCTACACCCTGCATCTCCGAAACTAAGCATTTTAGGACATACATTTATACGAACTTTCTTACTTATTTTTATCTACAGAATATGCAGTCGAAGTTTCCGGAATACAGTTCGGACCACCCTGTATACATATTTTTTATTCATTTATTTATATCTCAGAAACTATCGTATATGAGTAAATATATATATATATATATATATATATATATATATATATATATATATATATATATATATATATATATATATATATATATATATATATATATATATATATATATATATATATATATATATATATATATATATATATATATATATATATATATATATATATATATATATATATATATATATATATATATATATATTTACTCAATCTCAATCAGAATTATGTAAAGTGCTCTGAAAGGAAGCCAAAAATGCAATGATATACAGGCTGCTCCATTTAAAAAAATTGTCCCGATCCACTCACTTTTTTGAGCCGTCCTATAGAAGTTAAAATATTTTCTTAAAATACACCCCAGAACATACTTTAGGTTTGCACACATGGTTGATATAAGTTGAACGTAATTTATTATAACATACCTAATATATTATTGGTTTTTATTCATAATTTGTTCAAGTACGATTATCGTTTTTTCAACAAAACTTAAAGTTTAGTTAGTATTTAAAAATTTCAGATTTCTTGATAAAGCTAATATTTAATAATAATACTTACCCAAAAATATAGTTCCTACCCATAAAAATTGAGTATATACAGGACGAGTCTTAAATAAGTGCAAATATTTTTACATCTCGATAAAAGAAACATTTTTTCTTTTTTCAAGTTATAACCGAGTTTCAAAATTAAAAACAATGCTTTTTTTTTGAAAAAATGTTGAGAGCCACCGGATTTTTTCTGTAATTTATTCTTCTACTTTTAATCTACTACCGATGTTGTCACGTTTTTAAGATATTATATTTTATCTGAAAATTTTACATAAATGGTACTCGTATTTATTACATGCCACCCAAATGGTATTGCAAAGGCGTGTTTCTTTTTTAATAACGTTCGCTAGTAGCACTGTTATCCCACATAATAAATAGAAAACATCTGATGGTAATATTGGATAAATCGGAACCACATTATTTTAATAGACGCAAACTCTCAGAAAAAGAAATATTGGATAGAGATTGTTTCGTCCTGACAAGGTTCTTACATTAAAATCGAGCAAAAACAATTTATTACACCCAAAACAGACGTTTTATGTGTTCGTTATTAGAGATATTCAGTAGAGATGTAATACTGTATGCTAGTACCAAAGCCATAAAGTTATAATTAAACTTAAAAGAAGGGGTATGTTTTACTCTACAGTTATTTATTATGTGAATATTCAAATACATAAATAATTAATCATAATGATACAACTAGTACTGCACTTACAATATAGGGTATTTGGTCACACCTTTTTTTGAATTTATAATCCCTTTTCAGCACTTTTTACTTGTTAATTGCATTTTCTCAGATGAATAATTAGAAATATAGGTCATTTAGGAAGTGGCAATATTGCATCCAGTTGCATCCCTTTTAGTGCCGTAACCATAGTAATATCGGAGATTAAGAAATTAGGCCGTGGGAAAATTTACGGTGATTTTTTTGTTCTTTGACATTTATAAATGTTTATTTTGACAATATTATTTGTATAATGTTTTGTATTATCTTTTGTCTGTTTGTGTACCTTGTTTGTTTACTTTGTTTGTTTAGTTTACATTTGTCTACAAATTGAAAAATTGTTTGACAATAAAGGCATTTATTTATTTAATTTAATTTAGAACAGGCAGTTCTGGAAAGTAGTCGAAAAATATACAGGGAAATTTAAAAGAAAATGCACGATCTCTGAATTTTTTTTTGCGAAACAACCTCATAGACCTGGAGTAGAAATATCTTCCTATCTCCCCCTCTATCCTATCCCCCCCCCCCTGAAAATATTTGCACTTATTTGCCATATTGAGATTATATATCTTTCAATCGTTCTTATTTACAATGATGAGAACTGAACCCATACAGCACATCAAATCACATTTACGATGTGTTTACATTATTAGATGTAGACACAGGGTGACACAATTCCCCCGATGTAAATATGCTACGTTTACACATTGTAGTTCAACACGTATGCACAAAGGTTAAACGTCCGCCTCACAATGTAGCCACAGTATAGCATTTACGTATACACAAAGTAAGGGATACACAGTGTGCCGTAGGATACACAGTGCTTGTGTATTACGTTTAAACTATGTTTACACATTGCAGTTGTGACTACCGCGTGTATACGTATGTATTTTGCTTCGTATCTATTATTATCTTGTGCTAGATAAAACTACTTCTTATGAACGAATTTAGGAAATAATACAAGTTTTGATGCCTAACTTTTCGTTCTTTTTAAGAAATACTTATTCAATGATACCAATTATATCTTTTTAGAACGAAAATTAGGACGGCAAAACTTTGTATTTTCGAAAAGTATCTCGATCGTAAGTTCAAGAGAAGTAGCCTTAAAATTGTTCCATTTTTGTTTTGTATTAAATGTACCATTTTTTTCCATAAAATGGATTAAGTGGTTAGAAAATAAAATTCTTATATTTCTTTATATCATGGAACGCAATAGCGCAAATAACACAATAATAATAATTATTTACACTGCAGAAACCAAAAGTAAGAAAACACTGTAAAAGAATAGAATTTGTATCAAAATGTATTAAAAATATAAGTACCTAGTATAACAAGATACTAAAACGGTAAACACTAGTATATCGCCACAATTTGGTGGACCTCATTTTTAGTCATTTTTTTCTCCTCTTTTCCCTCCAAGCAG